AGTTGTATGAATTCAACTGATATAGGACTACAAGGAGTTGATTGTTTTCATTTTTGATTTTAAAATATTTGAATTTTTCATTGTTCACTTTTCATTCTTCACTTGAAATTGAACAATGTTTTGGATGCGCGTCCTTTTTCACTGTTGAAAAATACTCAAATTTTAGTGCTAAAAATCCTCAAAACTTCTAGAAATTTATGAAACTTTTTCTTTAATGATAAAAAGAAAAGTTCATATCTCTGTAGAAACGGTTCAATTTTTCTTTATCTTTGGAAATTTCTAAAATGCTTGTGAAAAAAAATACATCGTCGATTCATTATCTGTTTCAATAGTTGAAGTATTTGTGCTGGTTGTTTCAGATGATGTTTAAAATTCACTTGAATTATTAGCGAGTTATTTTGATTTTTCGGAAAGAAACTTAAATTGTAATGTTATGCGTTAGTGAATTGCTAAGGTGTTGGTGGTTTCGGAACACCTGGTGATCATCATTGATTAGTTTGCAAATAGCAAAATGACAAATTAAAATTCTGCGGAAATTTAAAAAGTGAGCAGTTTTAGTTTATGGATTTATCACTCCATCGGCAACAATCACTACATATTTTAATATTTCAAATCACCAGAATGATTTTGGTGAATTTCGAAGATCATTCGAAACAGCCATCACTCGGATGTCCGTTTTATTAATGAATGCACAGAAAAAAAAAATTCAAACGAATAAAAGATTGAATTATATCGAAGATGTGAGTTTTTTCCTAATTAGAATAGGATTGGAGAATTTTTTTTAATTTTTAAATTTAATCTTGAAAAGAAATAAGTACTTCTGGGAAAGGTTTTAATTTCAAATTTGAAAAAAATTCAATTTTTTTGGATATTACATGAATGCAATTTTTTATGCATTTAACAGTTAAAGCAATTATAAAAAGTTTTAAACCACGAAAAAGTAAAATTATCTTTTTCTCGTTATTTTCTAAAAAGAAAGAAAAGGTTGAATTTTTCTCACCATATTCTTCTAAAAAGGAAAAATATCGAAAATCAAAACAAAAAAAAAATTATAAAAATGTTTGGAAGAAAGAACAATGAAAAGCATGTGTCAAGTTTTACTTTTAAGCCCTAGAAAGCCATAAAATATTGCAACTTCCCTTTCCACAACCGAAAAATAAAAAAGTAAAATAAAATAAAATATGGTCTTGCTAATAGATTAAGCAGGAAAGATTAATTATGGCTAACTATAGTAAATTTTGTTTAACTATAGAATTGATAAATTAATTCTTACTAATTTTCCATCAACTAATAAAAAGTGGCAATTTTCTCAGCATGAGGTATACGAGGGTATGAAGCCGGGAGAGAGGAGAAGGAGAAGGAGTGAATGTGATAGGAAAGAAAGGGAGAGAAGGGAAATTCTGACTTGTTAAAAATGTCATCCATTAGAATAGATGATAATACACAATGGTTCGGCGACATTTTGGTCGATATTTTCAGAAGTATTTGAACAAAACTGTTGAAAATGAAAGGAGACAAATGCTGTTAATGACACTTTAAAAGGCATTCTCCTAGAGATGTATATTTTACACAAAATACTCTTCAGTGTTTAATTGCTGTAGTATTTATCACAGTTTAAATCTAGTTTTTTTTTTCGTTTGATTTTTCATTTTTATTTTATTTTAATTGTTTTGAAATTAAAAAACAAAAACAAAAATCAAAGTTGAAAGCTCAAAATTGAAATACAAGAATTATTTGAAAATTGGAAAGAGATTTTAGTATATGAGAATTTCTGTAAAAGGAAAAAAACTATCTAGTAACTGGAAACTGAAAAAATAATTGGAAAAATTTTGTTATGTGAAAATTTTTTATGTATACAAAGAAAAATAATTCTAAAATTGGAAAAAAATAGTTCTAAAATTTCACAATTATATGAAAGTTTTTTTCTGAATTTGAAATCTCTTATCATTAAGCTCAAATATGTGGTATATTTCATAAAATGTTTCATTTTTTTCCGCTCATTTGATTTGCTAAAATTAAATTCTCATCTCTCCGATTTGCATCTTTAAAATGAAATTTTATGATTGAAAATTGAAAATTAGTGATGCATTGAAATACAGAATCTTTTTTTCGTTTTTTTCCTCTTTGAAAGAAAGGGAAGAAATAGATAATATTTTGATTAAATCTTTTGCTTATTATATTATTTCTGTTTTGAATATTTGATAATGTTTTCTATTCTCAGACCTGTTGCTAGCATTTCGTGATGAAAATATTTAGTTACCCTATGCTTTTTAAACTATATATATATAATATATTGTACATAAATTATAATTATTGCGCCTCCTTACAGGCGGGAAATTATATGTTGATCATAATCGCATATGGTTTTCGAGATAGGTTTACAATGCAATCGCAAACTGTTTCATTAAATTTGACTGCTAATTAGTTTGTCGACGATCTGAGTCGCTGTGATAGCATCGTGTTTTATCTTCACCGTATCGCTATTTCTATCTTAGTAGGGTCCCGAAGTTGATGACTTAATTTTTGAAATTTTTGACTTTTTTCTTTTTCGCATTATCCATCCGTGAACTGTCGACAAACTAATAGTGTGAGGATTGAAATATAAAAATTATAAAAATTTAAAATGTTAAAATTAGAATATGTGAAATCTATAGGTTTCCAACAAAATTTCGCATTTTTGGTTCGGAACCCAAATTATAGTTCTTGCTTAGCGAGGAACTCTTCCGAATATTAGTTTAGCAATCATTTTTTGATCAGGAAGTAAAATGTGGAAGTAAGTTGAAGGTCGTCATTATTTTTGATTTCAGTGACTTATTGCTTATTTGGTGTTTGCCATGGCAAAATCCCGAAAAGGATGAATTTTTTGATGTAATCAATCAATTTATCAAATTAATCGAATTGCCTAAACAAATTATTGTTATTAATCCATACTACTTATCTGATAAGGTGACAAATTTGTCGGCAATAACGCTTGTTATAGCTATTACTAATATGAAACTATAGCAATAATGATTGTAGTCGTACAATTACAGTTATTATTACTGAATACTTAATCAAATAAAAAGGAAGATTTTTGTATAAAGAAATTTAAGAATTTAAAAGCCATTTGATGTATCCTAAATAAGTGCATTAGTATTGTCACTGTTACTACCATTTCTTATTACCTGACTAGTAGCCGACCGATTGATTAGCTGCGCTTGTTTTTATTTTTTTGATAGCTGCTTTTTGGAATAGGAAACTGTAGATGAATATTGGTAACCGATAGCTAATGAAGTGATATATCATGATTAAAATGTGGAATTTTTTTAGCATTATATTTCCTACTCTAATATTACTTACTTCCTTACTTAAAGACTTCATACGCAGGAAATGGTTCTCCAACGTATATGTATTACATAAATAAAAAGCAGCAAAAAATACTGAAAAAGGAACTAAATCTACCATTTGATGATAAACCGAAGGAAGATGCATTAATAATTACATGGCAATATGCTATTAAAGGTGACTATCGATGTATTAAGTAAGTTTTATTTTTCGAACAGCATATTACTAGCTATTTCATATAAATTTCTAATTAGAGAAAGCCAATAAAAAGTAAGTTAATAATTGAAAATAAGTAAATAAGTGATTTTTTTGATTGTTACTAAATTAGGTAGATTTATCTACATATGAAGTGCTGTTTAATTAGTTAATCAAAGTAAATTTATTGAATGTTAAATGTGGTAATCTTTTAAAGACACCTATTTATTTTTTAGAACTAGTTAGTCATAATTGGCCTTATCAATTTGTAATGCTGTATTTAAATAAAATGTTTTTCAAAATTCAAGGTTCCAAATGGTAAAGATTGAAGATATCTTTAACGAATATGTATGGAATACGCTAACGTTTAAAAAATATCGAAAATTCATAAAATATCTTTCATTTGTCGCATGAGTGTAATGATGCAATCATTTTTACAGAGAAAAAGAACATCAAAGACGAGATCTTGGAAAGCATGTGGAGCTACGTCTTGGTTAGAAAGTTGCTCAGTTAGTTCCAATCATTAATTTGAAGAATGGAAAGGAAGGTAAGATGGAAAGCATAATGCAACAGGTCAAGAACTACACCAGAAATCTCAAGTTAGATCTCGAAAATGCACCTTTCTAAAGATGGAATTTGACCGTGCAAAGTAGTAGAACTAAAAAATGAATTAGTTATCGCATGGTTTAATCGACCTCCGTATTGGAGGTAGAAATCGTTACAACGATGAAGCTGGCAATTCCATTATCATCAATTTTAATCTTCTTAAATAATATAGTCAATATCACCTGACATCGAAGTGTATATCTGACATCTTTTTAACGGTAATGTGAGAATTGAGCAGTTAATAATTCTACTGAGGTATGTTCACCATACTAAATATTTGTTATTCATTTAAAGGTTAAATTACGACCGTTACTGATTACTATCAATATAAGTAGAAATTTTAAGATGACTCATAGGTGAACAATTTTCTTAGCTCTATCTTAGTTACGACTAATGCACAGTAACTTCATCCGCATAATTATCTTTTAAATCATTATCGTTCTACACTTCGTGATACGGCCTAATGACCAACTATGGTTAGACATATTTTCGAAAACTAAATTTAAATTGATACAAAGTCAAACAATGCCAAGCAATCTAACCGCTGGTTATTAAAGATAGTTGTGAATGGTGTGCACTCATGCCATTAGACTAATGGAACATTAAATTGGATCATAGCATATCTTGATGATATATTGAACAATTCCGAAACTCATGTAACTTTTTATTAGTTTTAATTATAAAAACAATATAAACAAATATAGAATACATGAATGATAAGGCACAAAGATCACAAATATTTGAAAAAGTCCTGTGCATTTAGTTCTCAACAAAGCAATACTTAGATGAAAGGAAATGGATAAACTGACTTTCCCAGTAAATATAACCTTGACAAGTGAGAAAATACTTTAACAGCAACAGTGCCCTTTAAAACATCAGAATCTCCTTCTTCCATTGTGAGTTCCTTTTTGCTTTCGCTTTAGTTTTTTCCTAAAAGCATTATTTTCCTCTGCATCGTTCACTTCATCATCATCGTCGTCATCAAACTTTTTCCTTTTCCTACCTTTTTTCTCTTCCATCTCCTTCATTTCCTTAAATGAAATGGTTGAAAATGAATCTGATGCTGAAACTTTTGACATTATTAAAATTTGAATAAGCATACACACCCGTTTTGCCAATTTCTGAGCTTCTTCAACTCTTTCCACGAGTAACATTACGTCATTTTCTATCGTTTCGAAGAGTGGAAGTTTTTTGCCAATCAGACGTTCGATCCTTTGATAAATCTGAATAATAAAACATTAAAACCAGAATTGACTTGGAATTATGAGTGGAGAATACTATGATACGACATCAATACAATATATTTCAAGAACAAATCAAAATAATATAAGAATAGAAGAAGCAAATCTGTCAAAGACCAGGAAACATAATTATCTTAACTGAAAGAAAAATCCATGCTTGCATTGAAGAAATATCTAGTATCAAATATGTCAAAATAACGAACCTCAACATCGTATTGTGTAACGAACGTTATAGCAACACCAGATCGACCAGCTCGAGCGGTACGTCCAACACGATGAACATAATCCTTGGACTGTATGGGAACATCATAATTTAGCACCACATCAACATGTGGTATGTCAAGACCTGCAAAATTTTCATTACGGTCAATAAAAAACAAAAGTTTACATCAGAAAAATCTAGATCATAGTAATTAAGGAGTCGAGAACTTAATCTCCTGTATATCTATCTGCTCATGCAACGTAGCATGTGCAGAAATAGAGGAGGTTAAGCTGTGTAACAGAAACGTAATAACGCACTATACGAACTGTTTCAAGAATGACCATGTCTAAACCACACAACTTCTCTTGTAAGTAAGCATACTATCATATGAAACAGTAAAGTATACGAAGGTAAAATATTTACAAAAGTTTATGGAGAAAATGTAGATTGCATATCCGGCAAAATGAATAACCAATGACTACTAAGCAATCATCTAGTTAAATTAAGAGAAAAAAGGAAATCATTATTTCAAAACACATTCTTCATTACTCTATCCTCTTTTTGAGCGTGTTTATTGAAAACAGGTACGAGAAAGGACATAAGTTCATAAAGATCTACATCTTGTAACATATCAATATTAAACTATTACGTCTGTGCGTCTTTATCATTCTATTCTACAAAATTTCACTTCAAAATAATTACCTCTTGATGCAACATCGGTACAAACAAGAGTTGTGGAAGTTTTACTTTTGAATTTGTTCAATGAACCCAATCGCTTTGCCTATAAATTGTTTTGATGGACACTTTTAAGTTTGATTTCCCTACTTAAATAGTCGAAGATAAAGAAACTGCAAACTGAATGACATAAAAAAAAAAAACATTAATTCGTAGAATTTCACCTGACTCATTTGGCCATGTAAAGGAACAGCTCCAAAACCCAGCTTCCGCAACATTAACGCTGTTCTTAAAGCAGATGCGCATGTGGAACAAAACACTATTGCTGTCTGTCCGGCCATTTCATTTAATATATAAACAAGATAAGCTTCCTATAATATCAATTGAGGAAAATATGCTTTTTTAATATTATTGTGTTATTGGTTTACTGCGTTAATTTACTTTTTTTTCGGAAGTATTAAAATTGAAATAGTTACTTTGTATTTATATGGGATGAAGATATAGTGCTGCTTCAGTTTATCAACAGTTTGGTATTTCGAACTGACTTCTATTCTGACCGGATCATTGAGCGAAGCACGTTCTAGTTTCGCTACCTGAAATCCGAAAAATTAAAGAGAGAGAAAGAAAGAGCTGTTCAATGATTTTACGATCTCAAAACTAACTTTTTTAGTCATTGTAGCCGAATATAAATATGTCCTTCTTTCTTTTGGGATAACTTTTAAAATTTTCTCCAGTTCTACTTCAAAATCCATATTCAAAATGCGATCGGCTTCATCCATCACCAGATATTTCAGTGCGCGTAAATTGAAACCTTTCGTGTTTTCCAAATGATCCACCAATCGACCAGGTGTAGCTAGAAAACACTGTTCCATTCATTATATAATTGTAAGTTAATAAAGTTGACTTTTTAGTTAGATCAACTTTACTTAAAATTTTGCGAATATCGTTTCTCAAAATGTTTTTCTGAGCGAATGAAAGTCGAGACATTAGAACTCACCAATTATGACATGCGGGCGTTTCGCAAGGGCTAATGACTGCGCTACTGTATCTACACCACCAACAATCACAGCTGAAAGACACAAGATAAATATAACTTTAAGAGAAATCGAGTAAAAAGATTTTATGAACAGGAGTTAACATACCAATGAGGATTCCAATTGCAGCACCTAACGCCTCAAATTGTTCGCCGATTTGAAAAGCTAACTCTCTGGTTGGAGTGAGCACGAGAGCAAATAATTTCTGCGGAGTTTCAAGTAAAGCTTGCAATATCGGTATTGCAAATGCAGCAGTCTTACCAGATCTAAAATTGGTTCCCTGGATTTATTAAAATCCACTAAAACTTTGATTAGATGCTCTTATCTTAAATGGACACAGACTACTTTATTGACATAATCATATTACTGTCCCCATATTTTATTGACATAATCATTACTGTCCCTATATTTTATTGACATAATCATATTACTGTCCCTATATTAATAGGGAAGAAAAGCTCAATATCTTTTATCCTGTCCAGAAGACACTGATATTAAAATAATATCATGTTTCATTAACCATTATTCGCATTGTGCTAGTAAAAGAATATCTCAAACAAAGAGTGATTATACTTGGAAATAGTGGCATAGAACTTTTTATTGTTTGTCGTTCCCAAGTATAAAAAAAGTACCCCGTTTCAGCAAGACCAATTATATCACGTTTTTTAAATGCATGTGGCAGAGCTGCAATTTGCACTTTCGTAGGTTTTTTCCAATTTAAGCGATCGCATGCTTCACAGAGAACATCCGCCACACCCTGAAAATAAAAACGAGAACATCAAACGTGCATTCTATATTCATAGCTCTTACCTCCTGATAACGGCATGATATCAAAGCTGGATAGTGATCCCAAAAAGAATTGATCTTTTTTTTGAAAATTTTCTCAAAATTGTCAATAAATGCAATTTGCTATTTCGGAGACTTTTCTGAATGTTTAATGCGTATTATATTAGACAAGCACATATATTTCCAGATATCTATGGCATTCGCCTTATTCTCATAGTCCTTTCTATTCTTATCCAAATAATGGATTTTTAATTTGAACAGAAAACCATTACGTTTCATACTCTACATGCTACCTAAAAAATGATGCTGACTTTTAAATAGTAAGATAGAGATAATGATGGTTAAATAATGTCTTAATTTCAACAAGTAAAAAAGTATCTAATCGAATAGTAAGAATGCTGACCAATTTCTGGAACGTTATGTCCTCATTTTGATCCTCAACCAATTGCATCGACGCTCCTTCATCCTCATCTGATGATGAATCAGACATAACTCAGCTTCCTTTCCTTTTCCGTTCAATTCAGCTAAAAGCCCAATAATGCACCTGCCTATAATATGCCATAATTTCCAATAATATATCACATCATAATATTGCATTATTCAACATACTTTCTAAACAACAGCACATTTTCCAACAGCCTCAGTATACAACATACTTTTCAATTCCTTCGAAATAAATATATCATATCGATTTGCTACTGTAATTCTCAATAATGTCACGGAGGTAAAATAAGAAACAATTACGGCACTCAAGCGACGACATATAAGGAATGCCGAAAGCATCTTTATTGAAAATTTTCAAAATTCTTTCTCCAAGTAACAAAATTCCAACAAAATATTTCATACTGCGAAATTCTGTTTTTTATCGAAATGCTCCCCCTAACAGACAAAATCCCAGAATTCCTTCCTCGAGTACGAACACATCCCGACTTTTCACATAGTATCGCTCTATCACCATTCAAAATACTAAGTATGGTTTGTAATGAAGGTGAGGTTCGATATGAAAAATTTAAGATTCCTTCAATATATCCTTGTCATTGTGAATGTCAATATTCTTCAGGACAAAATCATACAGCATAATTGGATGAAATTCTTTTTCTTGTTTAAACTCTGCTCCCTACATAACTGCTAAATAATGACAGTTTATTTATAAAATTTTCAAAATGAAATGAAAATAACTGTTTGCTGGCCGTTGTTTTTTTTTTTCAATTTAAGCGTCGATGAATTAACGAGTTAAAATAACTGTTTAGTTATTGCTCTCATAGTAAATATTATCAAAATATAAGAGCAGCTTTTATCATTTCATCAATATTCAGCGAATTAGCTTAATCTCTCTTTCTTTCTTCCTTTTGCTTCTATTACTACTTGATTTTATTTCATTTTAATTTTGTTTTTTGTTTCTTCTAAAATACTTTTTAGTGCGTTTATTTCTCTTTTTCGCGCCGTTCTGTCAAGACTTATAGTTAATTCAGATGGAATATATATTATTATGAAATGAAGCATACATATTCTGGATGATAATTTTCAGTTTTTTAAAGGGAAATATTCCTTTCACATCGGTCAATAAGCGGACATTACCGGAAAGAAAAACCATTTTGCTCTTATTATAAAAGCAATAAGTACTAATGAATCGTACTGAAGCTTTTTTTTTCTTCATCCTTTTTTTTCATTATCATTTCATCATTTTTCTTTTTCACCATCTTCATTATTATTCTTACGTCACTTTTCTTTTCTTCCTTTCCTTTCCTCTTTTTTAATCTCTTGTAAAATTCTTTGGTTCATTTATTTAATCCATTTTTTTTCAAATTTTAATAAATTGTTACTTTTATCAAATTAAAAATCATTGATTTAATTTTTGTTTTGAATTTTAAAAAAATCAAATTTGCTGTCGTATTGCTCTTCTATTACTTTTTTGCTTTTGTTTTTGTTGTTATAAAAAATGTGGCTGAAAATTTTTAATTTGAAATCTAGAAAAGCAAAAATCTGAATTTCGATTTCCTTTTTCTTGTTTGGTTTTTAAATTTGAGCACGCATATAACTTTCAGCATTTTTTGTTATTTTTTTTATCATTTCATTATCTAACTCACTGAAAAAACATAAATTTGGAAAAGAAAAAAAATTTTAATTTATTTTTAAATATCTTTCAAATGTTATGAAAAATTCGTGAAAATTTTTTCATTGTCATTTAAAAAATTGTAATTAAACGTTGTATGCACGAAAAGTAAAAAGACAGAATGAAAAGTGTTGAATAAAATTTCATTTTTTGAACTTCGATTATTATGGTCTGTCATTGTCCATCATTTCTCATATGTATCACTTTGTTGTTTTGTATTTTTATCTTTTGAGTTAAATATAATTTGAATGAATGAATGAATGAAGAAAATGAGTGTATGAAATTTCAGAATACTTGATCAACAAATCACATCTGACTTAATTGAATTAAGAGATGAATTCAATTTAAATAGATTAAATAATCAAATTCAGCTCAACTAACTTAAGCGACAGAGTTCGATTTCACGAAATTAAGCAATTAAATTTAATTAAATTAAACAATCAAATTTACTAAACTAAATTAAATATTTAAATCCTTTTAAAAGTGTAATAAAAAAGCTCATTTTATTACGAATAGGTTTCTTTTTTTCTTTTTCTATTCCTTTTTTATTCTTCTGAATTCCTTAAAGAACAAATCGATAACAGTAAAATTCATAGTTTTGATATGTTACCGGCTATCAGAAAGAAGTAAATATTGTGCGTAAATTGAAATCTTCAACATCTTGAGTGGATTTTCACTCTTTTGATTACGCCAAAGTGGCCTTATTGATTCTTTCAAGAAGATTTATATTAGTTTAATAATACCTTTTCTAAGCGATGTAAAAAAAGAAATTAATTCGATCGTTATTCAAAAAAAAAGAATAAAATTTTAATTTCTTCTTCGCTTCATGCTATTTGTTTGAAAATGTTCAAAATCTAAATTGATAAATTATCGAAAGACAATATCAATCATTTATAGGAAACGTTTAGTTGAAGTATATGAGCAAAATAATTTGCATCTTTTTATCATTGATAAATCTCCTCCTTAATCGTATATTGCATTTTTTGAAAAATATTTTTTCAATCCAATGAATACATTTTATTT